ATGCAGTCCTCGAACTCCGTCGTTTTGCTCTGTGAATCAGGCTTGAAGTAATTGAAGTTTGCTGTACTGAATAACATCACGGATATATTGTTCAGTCGAGGAAACAAATTTAATATACGATAAGAACAGTATTGAGTTAAACAAGAGTAGACCAGTGAAAGTGAAAACTTGAGATAGCACTGTCGAATACAATTCACTATCAGATAAATTACTCCGAAATTCCTCTTCATCCACAAAACTAATGCCACACCTAACCCAGTGGGGTCTTACATGGTTCGTCACTCCAGATTTAGGTTGTTGGTTTCCATGACTGTATAACAGGCCCTCGTGACAATCGGGTTTATCCCGTCTGTTGTTTATCACACAACGGTGTAAAAAATTTTTTTTGAGTAATATAGCAAAAAATCTATCACCGTGTGAGAAACAGTGGTCCCGATTTTCTACCAAGTGCCACGGCATCCAATATAACGGGCGTAGATGATGCTGTATATGTGAGCGTAGATTCGGATGGATCGCAGGCTAAAATTGGACGTTGCTTTGCACCTCATTCCCAGGTTTCTTCATGGATTATCTTACAATTTTACATCGCGTTCAGGTTACAGCGTTCGCGGGAAACGACGCGCCCTGTGTTTATCTAGTGGATGGGATCAAAAATAAGCACTCAAGAAAACTAAACCATCTGTACACTAGATCCAGCATCCGTGTAACTTGTTGGGACATTAGAACATTGCTAAACATAGAAAGCCAGTGCATTACAGTGAGTTCACAGCACGACCACAAATTAGATATCTGTAGTCTGTCCGAAGTCCGATTGCCTAACTGTGGAATAAAACAAATCAACGTACCACATCGCGACGTAACCCACCGGTTCTTCTAGAGCGGACCAACTGTTAACTCCGGTTTGCACGGAGTAACGATCGGCGTGAGCAACCGGGCCAACAGCGAAATGATCTCCTGGGGACTAATCTCTCTCAAGATTCCGCATGGAGTGCTTCAGGGTTGAGCCGTTTAGCCTGACTGTAATCGCTTTCTATGCTCCAGCGTTACATGCGGATACGCCCAACAAAGCTGATTTCTATAAAACGCAGTGAACCGCAGTCCGAGACGCGAATTTCCTTGCAGCGGTTCAACAGGCCCCCAGCGCTGGCTGCCTCAAGTAGTTTTCTTGAGAGAGCACTCCGGTTACTATCCACGGGGTCGCCCACAGAAGCGGAGATCCGAAAGGAACTCCAAGGTCTGAAACGCCACAAGGCAGCTGGATCAGATGACCTGCTACATGCCCTCTTTAAAGATGGTGGAGCTCTCATGAGACAGCTTGTGAGACTGTTCACGAAGATCTAGGAAACCGAAATTGTACCCCACACATGGAGAGAATCGACTGCTACACTCATCAACAACAGGGGCTTCCGCAACGCTTGTTCCAATAACGTTGAAGCTAGTAGCGTCCGTTTTCTTACATGGAGACTAAGCCCACTTCGTGAAAGGCAAATCCGCGAGGAGCAGACCGGGTTTTGTGAACACCGTGGTTGTATAGATCGAATCTTCACCCTTCGTCGGCCACTAGAACACCACCACACATAAGGGTGACAAACTATCGTCGTGTTTTTGCACATCAGAGCGACCTTCGACTTCATCGATCGCCCCACACTGTAAAACTGTTTGCGTAGAGAAGAGTACTCGAGAAGTATGTTCTGCTTCTAAAAGCACTCTATCGCCAAATCTCGCGGAAGGTAAGGGCCTACGGTGAACTTTCACCCTCATTTCCTGTCACCAGTGGGGTCTGACAGGGTTGCCCAATCTCTCCGTTTCTCTTCAACTTTGCCATAGATGACGTCCTACAAAACGCGTTACATAACGTAACGAAGGCCGGAGTCCAGCTTCGTCCTGGAGACA